TCAAGGGATCTGGCTATGTTATCGACTTCTTTAGTTGATTAATTTCTTTTGGATGTAAAGGCGAGTAAATTTATTAAATTTGAGAAATATTATGAAAAAATTTTAGCATTCTATGCATTTTTCTTTTTAAACGAAAAAACAAGAGCGAACCTAATTTAGTTCCTTTTTTAAAAATATTAGTTATTACAAAATTTTATCTAAAATCGAACCGTGCAAATTTTATTATACGGCCACATAGTATTATTATTATATCGCAGCACAGCACAGATTGAGATATTCTATTCTAATCCCTTAAAAACCACACCCAAACTCTAATTAATAACTCCAATGTAAAAAATTTGTTAAAAATTTTACGTGACTTAGAAAATATAAAAAATATAATATTGTAAAAATATATAATAAGTGTAAAACACTATATTAGTACTTAATAAAATTTTTATTCTAAAGTCTTTTAAAATTAAATTTATGGTTCATTTTTATAATACTAATTATATTAGAGCTATACAGAGCTGCGACTGTTAAACTGCGCTTAATTTCGAATTTAATACAATCCAATTAATTCTCTTCTCAACAATCGTTTGTTTCCCTACCAAATTTTTTACAATTTATTAAATCAAATATTTTTAACCAAATTTATTTACATAGTTAGCTAAAACAAAATTTTATATTAAAACTTAAGAGTTTGGAACCGGTTTTATTTATGTTAAATCGGTTTTAATTGGTTTAACATATGGAAAATATACTGTATGTTTTTTAAGTTTCAATCTTTTATATAACCAACCTAGAATAATCTGTAATCTATTAACACCTGCTTTGTAATACCGATACTATCTTTTATAATTATCAGATATCTATCCAGTAAAATTTGATTAATAGAAATCACATGACTTCGTAATTGATATAAAATGATCAACCTCGAAGATGACAATCAAGTATCTGATAATGACGCTCTCCTTTAATCCCTTGAACACACTAAATAGTATTACTACAACACATTCTTTTTATCATCCATCTACAAGATTAACTCTCATTTTAAAGATAAAACCTTTAATTGCATCACGTCACTGTTTAAAAGTATCAAATATTTTAAGATGCCCGAAAAGTACAAATACCAACTTTAATAACCCTTCGAATTCACCAACAGCCTCAATAAATACTCTCAATTCACAAACAAACACAACGACTACATCTAATTCACCAAACAATTTATCATCAACCGAAAAAATATTGAATTTTGATGATGATTGGCCCATAAAAAAAGATGATAATTCTAGAAAGCCAGCATCAATAGACACAATAATAAAAAGTTCATTTGTCAAAGAAAATGACGTCCCATGGACTGGTGAAGAAGATTTAAAAGACACAGTGTTGCGCATGATAGTTGATAAATACCCTCCGTTAAAAATTAAACGAGAATCTGTTAAAGATTATATTGACGCGCATAGTCTCAAACATCAGTCTAAGAATAATTCGGTTAAGTTATCTAATTTTTTCAGTAATCATTCAATGACAAAGGCTTCTATACTAAAATCAAAAAACAATGTAAACTCATCGGGTAATAATTTACAAAGCAAGAAGGAAAGGCTCGAGAAAGCTCGAGAAAAGAATCAAACTCGCATAATAAATGCACGAGAAGCTGCAACTTATTATGCGATTGGTAGAAAACATAGTGACGGTAAAGAACAAAAAAATGAGATTTTGCCAAGAAGTATTAAGGCTTGGGATTCAATTGTTGAACAACGTATTCAAGAAGCGATTGCAGCGGGTAAATTTAAAAACTTGCCATATCACGGGAAACCACTACCTTTGGATCAAAACGAAAAGGTAACTATTTGTTTATGTCTGTAATATTGTAATTAATTCAATTATTTACACATAAATTCTAATTGCTATTTATTATCATTAACTGTTAAATTTAGAATCCATATTTAGATCGTACTGAATTCTTAATGTAAGTTTTGTATTTTATATTTTATTTTTTTTGAATTCATTTAAACTTTGTATGTCAAGAATATTGCTCTTAATAAAAAAAATTTTGGTTATTACTTGAACTCGATACATATATAGGAACAGGCTTGTTCAAAGGCAAGGTGCCACACCGGCATGGATAGAAAGTCAACAAGATGTTGACCGAGAAATATCATTGTTTCGACAGAGAATGCTAGAAAGTTGGTTGCGCTATGCTAATTCTCGTAATATCCCTCTACATCTTCGAGATTCAGGATGGGAAAAAATGCAACATTCTTATTATAAAAAAGCAATCGAGAAATTGAACAGTAAATTGAGGTCATATAATATTGTTGCACCATATGCAGTTCGAAAGTGTTATCTAAGTTTGGATGAAGAATATATGAGAGTGTATAAAAATGTTAAAAGAGAAGATACTAAAAGTATAGGGATGATTAATGATGGGATTAAATTTGATGAATGGTTGAATAAAGATGAAGAAAAGAAAAATGAGAATAATGAGAACAATATTTGGAAAGGGTTTACTAGAAATATTAAATGGCTAATTGGACATTAAATATTTATTATTTACATAATATAAAGCTATGCAAAAAATAATTTATTTTTCATAATAAAGTTTTTAAAATAGATACGGCGTCCTACTTTTAAATTTTTTACAGCTATTATCATATTTCTGGAACACCTGATTAAAATTGGCCGAATGATTTTTCGGCCGGTTCGATTAGGTTGACCCATATAATAAAAGCTATTTTTGTACTATAACGATTATTTTACGACCTTTATAACAATGTCAACATTATTAAATTTTAGTTCAAATGTTCATCCAACATGTTTGGTGTATTTAATTTATTCTTTCTAAAAAATTTTCTTCAACTATTTGCCAGCGAAGATGCTTCGAAATTAAAATTACATATATGAGTGTTGCCAAGGAAAAACCTGTTATTTCTAATTTATTAGGAATTGTGTCCGGTATAAAAATAATTGAAAGCTGATAATAAGTTTATCCCTTGGCAGCACTCACCTATATCAATTTATCGAATCTATTATTCCCGAAATCACAAACCTAACTGAATCGACCAAAAAAATCGTTCGTACCGGGTGTCCCAGGAATTATGATAATAGCTGTAATTAGGCCATTTCATGACTGATTGATAAATTTTTGATATCGGCTGACGTCAGTAACGTACTTGATTCCGACTCGATAAGTTACCGAGTCGGAATCAACTTCGACCGAACTCAGAAACTTATCTATTCGGTCATTGGCAATTTTTTCAGTTCCAGTATTTATGAAAACAGTGTGTTTTTTTAAAAACTATAAAAATTTTTATGCTTTTTATATATAAAATTTTTTGAAAATAAATTAAAAACGGGTTGTCGGGACGCTAAAAATTTTATGTTATGAAAACCGATTTATTAAGTTTGCATGGCCTTATATTCTTTTTTGTTTTAAAAAAAAGTCCACCGAACATGATACATGTAAAAAATTATTAATATTTTTGCATGACCTTTTCTCGGTGACTATATATGTATTGAATTTTTAATTACATTAACCCGAATGGAAAATTTAAAATTAAATTTGGGTTGTGTTCGCGTTTTAAGAAATGGAATGACATAACAAAAACAGCACAAAATAATTTTAATTATCGATGTGGGAAACAACGCAGGTTAAGCCACAGCGCGAGAACACATGTGGCAATATATAGTAAAGCAAAAGCTATCCAAGTTATAAACAAATTTTATTATAGCATACGATTAACGCAAAAAAACTATCCTAACACTATACGCCTCACATTACACTATTACTGTGTATATTACCTCATTGGACTCCAAACTTCATGTTGAAATCACATTTTGAACTTTATTTCGAGATTTTGAGATTTTAATTTTGAAATTCGAGAAAAATTGTTGAAAACTATATCGATTATACTGATCCGGCCAGAATTATGTTGAATTTACGTTACAATTGTAATTTACAAATTTTGACAATGGATTGGCACATGATTATTATACCAGCATTATGAAAATTATGGTAATTTTACAACTAAAATATGAGGCATGCACATTATTTCTAACAATGGCCCGAATTAAGCTTAATTCAGGCCATAATTCGAAATTACATTCCGGTCGTTATTTCGCGGTTTATGTTAATAATTTGGTTTTCGCACTATTTTAACAATTCATAACGATAATGCTAAATGTCAACAGCATCAAAACAATAGCTTTACACTACCACACCTTCTTCTAACACTGACGTACGTTTTTTAGTCACACTGTAACATTATGTCATAAATGCATTACTAGTGATGGGAAGATAATATATAAGTAATACGTAATAATTACCAGTACTTATGTATTATTACTAATTATTGCTAATTACGATTTTTAAATGTAATCTAAACTCAATTTGTTGTTCAGATTGAGTTTTGCATACATCATACTTATTTACGTCCGTACTAACTCTAGTCAATACAAATAAGGAAATCAGAAATTAACATAATCGATTACGTACGTACAGTACATAACTATACGTTTGGTTTAAATCATAAAGCTTCAAGTTATAATGAACTATTGCCACATTTTTTTTCTCTTCGATAGTGTATCACGTGATATTCTTAATAAATAAATTTAATAAAAAGTGCACGTTAAATCATTAACCTAAAGTATTTAGAGAATTAACTTTATTTGATAAATGGATTGTATCCGACTAAATAAGTTATAGCATAATTTTGTAAAAATATCTTACATATATTTATAGACGCAAATCAATAAATATATAATTTATAATTCAACAATTTTATATTTTATAAACAAATAATACAGTAATGATCCATTTATTGATATGAGTTTTTTTTTTGCTGGCTTTGGATATCGTGTAACCTAGAAATCAATCTGACGGAATTTAGTTATATGTCAGATTCATCGACCATAACTCCGAAATTTTTTACAATCAAATTTTGACGAAATTCTATTAATTTTTTTTTCTTTTATGTAATCAAAAAATTTTAAAAGGCAATTTTTTCTTATACGTATGAACTGATAAAAAAGAGAATTACTTCTTTTATTTAGATCATTAAAATAAAGACAATTGGTCCGATGTACATAAGTATGTGATCAAATAATTTGTCAAATAAACAATTAATAATTAATCCAATTTTAGATGTTATTACCTAACTTAAAAATTTCTAAGCTACAACAAGTTTAGTATATAGAATTATGCTTATTAAATCGAATCGAGTATTCAGTATATATAGTTTAATATTACGAATATATGGTATAACTTTTTATCAAAAAAAAATATAATAAAATCGTCCTATACTATATATATAAGTATTTTTATTTCTCGTATGAGTAATTATGTGAACATTTCAATAAATGGAATTTGATATAAATACACATAAAGCACATGATTACGTTACACAGCCTGATTACTTCATTCACAGCCAAAATAAACTAAACTATTAGTTTTGGAAAATTAAAATTTGACACTATTTAAATATTATTAGCTTAACCGAGTTCTGAAGTTACCCGAATAATTATTATATGGTTCTGGTGTAATAATAGCAAATTCTACCCGGGCCCAATCGCCAAGTTGAAGCAATCACGTAAATTAACAAGATTTTGTATATATTAGGTTTAATTTTAGTTTGTCACTCAATTAATTATATTATTATTGTTTATTGCTCAATGCATTTAAATAGTAACATGGTCCAACTCTCCTAAATGAATTTAAATGGTTTTCAAGGGACTTGTGCTAAGAAATTCATTTATTAGGAGAAAGAGTTTCGGAATGTTGTTTAATCATGCTCCACAAATTCGGCTCGGAAATTCATGTATGCTGCTAATTTACGGTTTGTTTACTTGCATGATTCTATTATTCTGGATCTCATTCTTAAGGTTAAATGAACGCCTTTATTTTTTTTGGGGCAAATGAAATTTCACGTGATAACCGAATATTATTTAAGAAATAAATATATCAACTTGGTCGAAATGTAAAACATTGTGGTGGCAATATTGGTAAGACAACCGGTTATTCTTTGGTAAGAGTCATAATGTGAGACAATTGAATTAGGAAACGCCATTGCTTTCAAGAAAGAAATGTGACAGTTTCAAGAAATAAAGGATTGCGTAAATAAGTACGTACGAATGTACGAATGTACGAATGTACAGTACAGTACGTACGTACTTTGGGTTCTGGGTTAAAATGTTGTGTCTATACTATGAAACTTAATGTTGTGTTGCGTTAACGTTAGGATATTTCTACTTTGTCTATTTATAAAGCTTCAAACAAAATTTACATATCCGGAAATTATAATAATAGATATTTATCTTAAACTCACTATTCGCTCTTTAAATTTTCTTAATTAAACACGAGTTATAGAATGTAACTCGAATTCTAACTATATACTATTTATTACGCACAAAAGCTTGTATTACTTGACACGCTTTGTATCACTAAATATAAATATAGTAACACTATTCAATTGTATAAATCGTTAAAAAGCACATGCGTGATGTATATGTATATATGTATATATGTGAACAAAATAAAAACCGATAAATGTGTAACATGTATGGTTTTATAATTTTGTTTAGTAAAGAGTTTTGGAGATCAATTGGTTGTTTTGTACTGAGTTTATTTTTGTTTATAAAAAAAGATTTTATGTTTTGTAAGTTATTTATACGTATTTACAAATTCTTTAATTCAATCTATATTGCGTCAAAACTTGGAAAGCTTGCGCTTTTACAGCTGCTAACCTTTAAAAGCAGTATTCTATACATTTTCTTAAGCACTTTGCTAAAATTATAATACGAGAGTCTTGAGAAACTTATTAATCTTAGCATTTAATTGGCATTTTATTAGCATTTATAGCATTTTATTAGCATTTTATTAGCATTAATTATTTAATCGTTTAATTAATGTAAAATAAACGTTTATTTTGTGTTGATCTAGAAAATTAAAGTACCAATAGCAAATAATGAGCTGCATGTACACTAAAAAGATCTGTTATGCAATATATAAAATTGGTCATAACTGAAGGTATCTACTCCCGCCAAACGTTCGGGGCAGAACGAAGTGTACAACCAAATTTACCCGATTTATCATGTTATTTAGACCACAGCACATATTATTTTATCTCTGTGCATTGATTCATTATATAATTCTATAGATCATACCAAAAATGAAAAAAAAGATTTATTATCTTTTTAAGTAGATATGATAATCCGAGATCTTATCCGTACTGTACAAAATCATACTTTATTATTATAGAGATTATAGAGAAGATCAAGATTTTGTACGATTCAATAGATCATCTTTTTTAAAAAAAACAGGTCATTTTATCAAACAAAGAACTTCATTAAAAAAAATAATTGTGTAAAATATAATAAAATTTTAATTTATATTTTATAGGGGAATTTCAACGCATGAAAAGATTTCTCATACTCTTTTGATTTTAATTGATATTATACAAAATAAATAGAATTAATATATCATAAATTTGAATCAATAGTCCTATATTCACTTTATCATTGATTCGTTCTGAATAGGTAAGTCTT